CCTCGTCCTCTGGCACCGCCTCCTCCTCCTCCGCCTCCGCCTCCGCCTCCTCCCCCTCCTCCTCCTCCTCCTCCTCCTCCTCCTCCTCCTCCTCCTCCTCCTCCTCCTCCTCCTCTTCCTGCTTCCTCTGCCTCCGCCTTCGCCTCCTCCTCCGCCTCCTCCTCCTTCTCCTCCTCCTTCTCCTCCTCCTCCTCCGCCTCCTCCTCCGCCTCCTCCTCCTCCTCCTCCTCCTCCTCCTCCTCCTCTGGACCGTCTCCTCCAGGTCGCGTCAGGGCTTGCAGCCCCGTCCTCGCCTTCCCCCTCCTAGCCCTCCAGGCTGGCCGCAGAGGGCAGACAGCGGTCTGGCGAGGCCCCCTCGGGCGAGTTCTCTGACACACTGCGAGCCCACGAAGGAGGGGGGGAAGGGAGGGGGGGGATGGGAGTGAGAGAGGGGGGGAGGCGGGGAAGGGATGGTGGGGAGGGGGGGGAAGGGAGGGGGGGAAGGAGGAGGGTAAGGAGTGGGGGCAAGAAGGGGGGTAAGGGAGGGAGAGAGGGGGGGAGTGGAGAAAAAAAAAAAAAAAAAAAAAAAAAAAAAATAAAAGGGTTGGACCTTCAACGAGGAGCATGTCCGCACACTCATTCGCTGCGCCTGTGCAACCCGCTCGCCTGCACTGAAGGCTGACCCGCACCAGCTCGAGGCCCGACCGGCATGGCCCAGGCCGCGGCGCCCCTCGAGGGCCCAAGGCGGCGGCCCCCCAAAGAGCCCAGGGAAACCTCGAGAGGGCCCGTAGTAGGAAGGCACCAACTATACACCAACACCGATCCCGGCCAGGATCAACCTGGGCCCAGGATCGGTGTATACGCCCTCCTGCCATGGGCAGAATGCATATACACCGATCCTGGGCCCAGGATCGGCCTGGGCTGGATCGGTGTAGGTGTATAGTTGGTGCCCTCCGACGTAGAGACCTCCGAGGCAGTTCAAGGACAGCCCAATGTGGCGCCAGAGTGGCCGCAAGGCGGCCCGTTTGGCTCCCAAGACGGCCCAAGCTCAAGCCTCAGCCCTTCGCCGTCCTCGGTCTCGGCCCTCATACTCACCCCTCCTCCTGAACATTCCTACCAGACCCTCCTCCCATCTCTCCTCCTTAACCCTTTCACCGACCATCCTTATCCTGCGTCCTTCTCCTACTGCTTCTTCCCCTCCTCCTCTTGAGTCCTCCTCCTCCTTCTCCTCCTTCTCTGGCCAACATACATTATTTTACAACGTTGATTCCAAGTTATCCCTTCCAATCCGTTTCAGCCTTGCATATTCAAGTTATCAAGGGGCGCAGCGCATGCCCACGATTATTCGAACAGGCGTGGCGAAGCGTTATTGAATAAATATGGGTAGAGCAAGGAGGAAGAGATGGGTAACGAAGATGCGGAAAAAGGACGTAAACCGGAAATTAGATAGGAGGATAGCCATGATGAGAAGGACGAGAAGGAGAGAGGAGGTGAAGAGAGGACTGGGTTTCAATATTCAGGGTTGCATGTGAGATTTGCAAATCATCCCTCAATGAGGCTGCGCATTGCCTCTTCGAATAATCCTGGGCATCGATTCTTCAATGTTCACATCCATGATGGACGGTCGTTGCGACCTGTTTTGACCAGACTCGGCCTTCTACTCCGACGCCTGGCTGCACAGTCTCGCGCCCGGAGCCTCCTGGCATCCTCACTCGCCAGGAGCGAGACACGCCCAGCAGAACGAGAGAGAGAGCGCGCGAGAGAGGAAGCACTTTTGGGGGGGGGACCTCCTCCTCCTCCTCCTCCTCCTCCTCCTCCTCCTCCTCCCCCTCCTCCTCTTATCCCCCCTCCTCCTCCTCCTCCTCCTCCTCCTCCTCCTCCTCCTCCTCCTCCTCCTCCTCCTCCTCCTCCTCCTTGGGGACCTCTCGGGAGCTTCTGGCGGCGTCTCCGGGCCGTCGCTCCGCGTCGTCCCGCGGTCCCCTCCGCTGCCCACGAGGGCCCTGGGACGGCCAGAGATAGCTCCAGCACGGCCCCCTCCTCCTCCTCCTCCTCCTCCTCCTCCTTTTCCTCCTCCTCCTCCTCCTCCTCCTCCTCCTCCCCCTCCTCCTCCCCCTCCTACTCCTCCACGTCCTCCTCCTGCTCCCAAGCGGACCCCCAAGGCGGCCCCCCCAACGCGAAACCCATTGCCGCTGGTCTCCGACCCGCCATCCGGGGCCCCTGGACCGGGCGTTTCGCCGGATGATACTCCCTCACCGCGTACGATCCTGGGCTTGACACTGCAACATTTACAAGGGTGGAAAGGGGGCTCTCGCTTTGACGTCGCGCGCATTCGCCTTGAAGGCCTGCAGCAGCTACAAGGACAGAGGGAGGTTTCAACATGGGGTTCTCGCCTTTGTGCGACGCGCATTCGTCTTAAGAGCCTGCAGCAGCTACACGCGCGGTGGTCTTCAACATGGGGCTCTCGCCGAAACGCCGTGCACACTCGTCCTAGAAGTTTGCGACAGCTGCTAGAATGGAGGAAGGCCCCTTTAAACGGTGTGGCTCTCGTCGGAGACTTTTCAATTTCAACGACCATAACGGTTGAAGGTATGTAGCAACGGCACGGATGGAGGGCAGTTTCTTTTTAAGAGGGGGCTCTCGCTTCAGATTTTCTTTACAGGTTGTACCAGACATGTGAGCCAGCGCAGCAGTCATTTACACGGATCGGGGGGTAGTTCCTTTTCGGCGCGAAGCTCTCGCTGGACACACAGTCTACATGATGATCACGCCGCATTCTTTCGTTTCGCTAGAAGGATGCAAAGCAATTCCTTCTCAAAGCGGGGCTTTCGCCTGAAGGGCAAAACCTACTGGGTGCTCGACTTTCAAAGGTGGCCTTCCTCTCGGGAAAGCTTGCATGGACTGACGAGGACAGGACTGTGGGCGGGAAGGTGTGTTGCAGCATCTTTGATGCATCCTGGTTCTGCTCTGGTCCTCATCCTCGCCCTCTTCCTCTAGAAAAAACAAATTGGCATCTACATAAACTTTTGGCGCTCCGCGCGGATTTCTAGGATCTGCGCTGAACCCCCCCATCCCTAGCGCGCGAGACTCGCCAGGGGCGGCGCCGGAGGCGCCGCCAGGGGGCCCAGCAAGGATCCAAGAAATCGGCGCGGAGCGCCAAAAGTTTGTGGTCATGGCGCGATCCTCCTCCTCCTCCTCCTCCTCTTCTTCTTCTTCTTCTTCCTCCTCCTCCTCCTCCTCCTCCTCCTCCTCCTCCTCCTCCTCCTCCTCCTCTTGTTCTTCTCATCCCTCCCACCGTCGAAAAGGAACTCGCCTGGCTCGGCCCCAGGGGTGAACGAGGCGGCCAACGCGGCAGGCTGGCGCGCCCGACCCTGGTAGAGGACCGTTCCGAAGCTGGGATGGTGCCGGGGTCGTGGTAGCACGGCACAAGGAGGGAGGAGGGAGGAGGGAGGAGGGATGAGGATGGAGGATGGAGGATGGAGGAGGGAGGAGGAGGAGGGATGAGGAGGGAGGAGGGAGGAGGGAGGAGGGAGGCGGAGGAGGAGGGAGGAGGGAGAAGGGAGGAGGAGGAGGGATAAGGAGGGAAGGGGAGGAGGAGGAGGAGGAGGAGGAGGAGAGGAGGAGGAGGAGGAGGAGGCGGAGGAGGAGGAGGGGGAGGAGGATCAACGCCTTGAAGTAATTGCTGCTCTTTTTTGGCCTTCCGAGGGCCTCCAGAGACCTCTGGGGACCTCTGCAGTTCCAGGGGGAACTCTGAAGGCCTCTTCCTCCGATCCTCCCCATCGGCCTGTCTGCGTCGTGTCTTCGTCTCGTGAGCTCTGAAGTGACTGCGTGAAGAGTCTACTAGATTTGCTTCGCATCTCGCTGGCTTTCCGATCCAGCGGATGCACTCGTGTCCCCTTTGTCCAGCATTGTCGAGGCACCACCTGGTTGTTCGGCAATGCGGGCGATGAGTATACGTCCTTATGCACTCCAGTCCATTGTGTGTTCCCACGTAGGTATGACTGGAATCATGTAGCGAGTGCCCTCCTCCTCCCTCCTCCTCCTGATCCTCCTCCTCCTCCTCTTCCTCCTCCTCTCCCTCCTCCCTGAACCGCCCCCCCCAACCAACACGACCGTGTGACGAACCCCGAAAATCTGTTTTACCCCCCCACGACGGACCCCGAAAACCTTCTGGATGCAGGTTAGGAAGGCAACCCTGAGACGTCAATATCGAAACGATGGCAGCGCCGCCAGGCAAGCAGAACCGAATGCCCCAGGCCCCAGGGCGCGAAACCGAATAGGTAAGAAAGGATGCAAGACACCCTTTGTGAAGCGTTGCATCCTGTACCCGTGTTCTTGGGGGTCCCAGAACGATGCGGTGACAGACCGTGTGGTGACCCCGAACTCCAAAGAGAGCTCACGGGGACCCTGGAGGCCCCAGTCGCCCGAGACGTCCTCGGAGAACGACCCGAGTCTCAAAACCGTGCGGTCACCCGAAATCCCCACTGACTCACCACGCGGTGTGACGACCGCACCGCTTGTCTAGTGGAACAAAAAGTGGCATAAACATAAAAACTCGGAGGTCCGCGCGGATTTCTCGGATCGGCGCTGGGGCCCCCGGCGGCGCCTCCGGCGCCGCCCCTGGCGCGCTCCGCGCGCCAGGGAGGGGGGTCCAGCGCCGATGCGAGAAATCCGCGTGGACCTCCGAGTTTTTGTGTCTATGCCACTTTTTGTTCCCCTGTTGTCGGCCTCCTCCTCCTCCTCCTCCTCCTCCTGCGCCGCCTCCTCCTCCTGCTCCTCCTCCTCCTCCTCCTCCTCCTCCTCCTCCTCCTCCTCCTCCTGTCAAGATCTCTTGACAGCGTGGCCACGGAGAGGCCCGGATCCCTCTCCGGGGACCCGCTTCTCGCCCCGGGCCCTGCCATCGACGGCCCCAGGGCCCTGCGTGTGGGGGTCTTTAGAGGGGAAACGGCTGCAAACCTCCCGGTCCCTCCTCCTCCTCCTCCTCCTCCTCCTCCTCCTCCTCCTCCTCCTCCTCCTTCTCCTCCTCCTCCTCCTCCTCCTCCTCCCCTCCTCCTCCTCCTCCTCCTCCTCCTCCTCCTCCTCATTCTCGTCCCTGTCCTCCTCTTCCTCATTCTCGTCCTCCTCGCCCTCCTCGTCGCCTTCGTCCTCCTCGTGTCTTGCTCACGACGCGAGGTGGTCTGGGATGTAGCCCCTGGGCGAGGGCCACCACCCCTAGCTCTGAGCACAGCCCGGCTCTCGGTGCCCATCGGGGTCGAGACGATGCAGTGGTTCTCGTCGATGAACTCCTGGCGAGGCGCCCGCGCTGCTCCGTCGCTCAGCGCACTGGGGGGAGGGGGTGGGCGACGAGATGAGAAAGATGAGCAGGAGGAAGAAGTGTAGGAGGAGGAGGAGGAGGAGGAGGAGGAGGAGGAGAAGGAGGTGGAGGAGGAGGAGGTGGAGGAGGTGGAGGAGGTGCAGCAGGATGATGAGGGACGAGGAGCAGGAGCAGGAGAAGGCGGAGAAGACGGGTCATATTATACCAGCATCCGGGGACGCGGGGCGCGGGTGAGGGAAGCTTCGCGGCGCATGCCTGAGCACCCGAGGACGGGCAGCACTGCCGTATGGAGGAGCTGGTCGAGCAACCCGCCTGCTGAGGCAGCACTGCACGGTCCCACATTCTCATTCTGAGGTTCTGAGGTTATTCGGTGCCGCCCGTCTCCCAAGCTCTGCTCGGAGGGGAGACGTCGGCGGCGAGGGGCCCGCGCGGACGCGCCGCCCTCACCGGCGCCGGCGCCCGCCCTTGTCCCTGCCGCTCTTCTCCCTGCGGCTCTTCCGCGGTGGCGGGGGCTCGCTGTAGTCGTACTCGTAGTCGCTATCCGCCACCGTGCCCCGCGGCACGCAGCGGGATATCCTCAGGCCGCCCCGAGACTCCCTGACCCCGCATCCAGGAGGCTTCCGAGAGGCCTCCTGCGAGATCCCCTCGGGCGTCCAAGACGCCTCTGACCCACAACCCAGCCGTGGTGGCGGGATGGGCCGAAGGCCACTGGATCCGCCGCCCCCTGTGCTCCTGCAGCAGGGGTGCCCAGCGTGCCAAGGTTCAGGTGATTTTGGGTTCTTAAAGGCTCCCCCCTGGGGCTTCGGCCCAGCCCACCGGCCACCCGGAAGGCCGTGCCGCTGCGTAAAAAACCTATCCAAAACGGCCTAGATGGCCTCATGTTCGTCCAAGATGGTCCAAGGTGGCCTCCAAGACGGCCCAGGAGGGCCAAATATGTTTCCACTCCGCCCAAGACGCTATCGAGACGGCCAAGATGGCTCCAAGATGGCCCAAGACGGCCCCAGAGGCCTCCAAGACGGCCCAAGATGCCTCCAAGAGGTCCTCCAGGAAAGCCCGAAGATGCAAAAAACATTGCTTTAGCTTCGGCTCTTGATGAATTCTGGCATTCGTTTATATTCGGCCTTCCGATGGCCCAAGACGGCCAAAGAGACCCCCAATGTCGCCTCCAAAACGCCGCAGAGGCCTCCACGATGGTCCCATGACGGCCCAAGAGGCCCTCAAGAGGCTCCCAAGACGGCCCTCAAGAGGGCCCCAAGATGGCCCAAGAGGCCTCCAAGACGCCAAAGATGGCCTCCAAGACGGCCGTGGAGCACCCTAAGCAAGCCCCAAGCCGGTTCAGGGAGGCCCCCCAAAACGGCTTCCAACGGCGTCAGACGGGCCAGGACCCCCCCGCAAAGGCCCCCAAGAGGCCCAAGGAGTCCCCCAAGAGGCCTCCAAGGATCCCCAGGCAGCTTCCAGGAGGCCCCAAGAGTGCCCCCAAGAGGCTGCCAAGAGGCCTCCTCCTCCTCCTCCTCCTCCTCTTCCTTTCTCCTCCCTGTCCTCCTCCTCCTCTTTTTTCTTCTCTACGTGTTCCCCGAAGGGTTTCAACAACGGCTGGGGGAACACACAATCCAATAGCTTGGCCGAACTCTCTGGCCGCAAAGTTCGGCCACATATGCGCTTCCAAAGAGCAGGGGGCGGCGGTGATTCGCCGTAGGTGTCTTCGATCCGCCGCCCCCTGTGCTTGCCACAATGGTACATGGCGTGCCAGACGTTGGGTCGTTTTGGTTATTTAAAAAGTTCCCAATGGGGTCTCGGTCCGATGCGCCAGTCACCTGGCACGAGCCACATAAACTTCAACATCCACAACAAATCTCCCCAAGACGGCCAACATGGCCTCCAAGATGCATCCAAATCGGCCTCCAAGATGCTCTCAAGACGCCTCCAAAACGGCCAAAATGGCCCCTAAGACGGCCCAAGATGTCCTCCAGACGGCGCACGGAGCCCCCAAGACGCCCCAAGAGGGCTCCAAGAGGACCTCCAGGAGGCCCAACTAACTGTTTTTCCCTACGCTCCAAAACGGCGCAAGAGGCCAGCAAGCGTCCCAAGAGGGCCCCAAGACGGCCCAACAGGCCCCCAAGACGCCCCAAGACGGCCCTATACACCTTCAAGACGGCTCGAAAGCGCCCAGAGAGTGAAGTGACCCACGACTGCCCTGAGAAGGCCCTAAGATGGCCTGCGAAGGCCAAGAGGTTCCTCAGAGTTCCTCAAAAGGCGCCGCGGGGGCCCCAGGAGGCCTTCAACAAGAGGCCCCAAGAGGCCTCCAAGAGGCCCCCCAGAAGCCCCCATGAGGCCCCCGGGAAGCCCCCAGAAGGCCACAAGAGGGCCTCAAGACGCCTCCTTTTCTCCCTTCTCCTCCTCTTCGTCCTCCTTCTCCTCCCTCTCCTCATCCTTTCTCGTCCTCTCCAAAATTCCCCCCCAATGGGGTTCCACAACGGTTGGGAAATATGAATTCCAAGAGCTTCGCCAGACTTCGGCCCAACGTTTGACCGCACAGGCGCTTCTGAAAAGCAGGGGGCGGCGGTGATTCGCCGTAGGCGTCTTCGATCCGCCACCCCCCTGTGGTCTGTCCACAAGGGCTGTTGGCTGGCCAGAACCTCTTGGGCGTGGCTTAATGGGGGGGTCACAAATGGGGGGGTCAGAAACGGTCCCCTTTCGTGCTCCTCTCGGGCCCCTCCGGAGCCCCAGGGGGCTCGTTTAGGCACCGTTTGGGTACCTTTTCGGACCACCCTCGCCACCCCCCCATTTATGACCCCCCTATTACGCAACGCCCAAACCTCTTCTGCTGTAAACTCTTCCGGCCGGCTCCCAATGGCCTCTGGCTCAACCCGCTGGCCACGCGGAAATCACCATCACACCACCCGCTCGAGATGGCCACGAGATGGCCTCCAAGACGGCCCAATGTGGCCTCAAGACGCTCCACGACGGCCTGAAGACGGCCCAATATACCCTCAAGACGGCCCAAGAGGGCTCCAAGATGCCCCCGGGAGGCTCAAGTTCATTTGTTCCCCTTGATGCATTTCAATGATTTTTAGTGCTCTCGCCATTTCAGGCTTCCGGCACCTAAGTCGGCCCAACTGGCCTCCAACAAGGCCCACGCGGCCCTCAGGAGGCCTGCGGATTGTTTCATGATTTCGAGGTTCTCGCCATGTCGGGCTTCCGGCAGCCCCAGGCTGCCCCAACGGCCTACTGCCCAAGACGCCCCCCAAAGCCCCGAAGCGTGCCCCACGACGGGTCAAGAGGGCCCCAAGACGGCCCAAGATGCTCCCGAGATGACCCCACGAAGGTTCCAAGACGGCCCCAGCGACCTCCAAGACGGTCCCAAAGCGTCCCAGGACGGCCCCGACACGGCCCGGTGAGGTCCCGAAGACGGCCTCCGAAGGCCAAGAGGCCCCTCGAAGGTCTCCAAGAAGGCCCAGGAGGCCGCCAAGAAGCAATCACAGGCGCCGCCATGAAGCCACCATGAGGTCCCAAGAGGCCACTCGAAGACCTCCTCTGCCTCGCCCTCCTCCGTTTCCTCCCTCTCCACTCCTCTTGCCTTCTAAATGCCTCCCCCCTGTCGCGACCCCTGACGTCTCGGTAATGAGGGCGGGTTGGGCGTTTCGCTCGAGACGTCCCCACCACTTACGATCCCGAAGCTTGAAACTCACAGCAGTTTCAAACATGGTGGGAAGGTTGTCTTCAAAATGTGGCTCTCGCGTTAGCGACGCGCACATTCGTCGTAACAGTTTGCAGCAGCTTCAAGGATGCAGGGCGGTTCCTTTTCAAAATGTGGCTCTCGCCTGAGCTCCGCGCACATTCGTCCTACACGTTCGTAGCAGCTTCAAGAATGTAGGGCGGGCCGCTTTCAACATGTGGTTCTCGCCCTAGCGCTGCGCACATTCGTCTTCAAAGTTTGTAGCAGTTTCCAAGATGCAGGGCGGATCGTTGCTAAACATGTGGATCTCGCCGCGCACATACGTATCGAAACGATGTGGCAACCATTTCGAGGGTTCATAAGGTTGAACTCTCACGAATTGCGTTCGTGCCCGATCGAGGATCGTTAGGACACAACAGCCACGTTGACAAGGGGTGTGGAAGTCCCAGGAATGGTGTTCTGGCACGAATGAAGATTGTCAGGGTCAGGACGTCCCAGTCACGTTGATTCGCGGCGTTTGAATCCCAGGTATGGTGTCTTGGTACGATTGAGGGTTCTCAAATGGTTGTCTTCCAGTGGGGCGCTTCCCAAAATGTCGATCAATTCTTGTAGGGGCCTATGAAGAGGAAACTAAGAGGGAGGGCTTCTTGCAACATCGCTGATGCGCGGCTTGCTTGGGTTTGCACTGGCCCTCCTCCTCCTCCTCCTCCTCCTCCTGATCATCCTCCTCCTTCCCCTCCTCCTCCTCCTCCTCCTCCTCCTCCTCCTCCTCCTCCTCCTCCTCCTCCTTCTCCTCCTCCTCCTCCTCCTCCTCCTCCTCCTCCTCCTCCCTCCTCCTCCTCTCTCTCTTCCGCCCGATTGTTACCCCAAGGGCTTCCAGAACGGCTGGGGGAACGCATTGCCCGACCTCCTGGAGAGCCTTCGGCCCCACGGCTGGCCACACGGGCGCTTATCCCGAAGGCAGGGAGGGCGGCGCTGCTTCGCCGCAGGCGCTGCCCATAGTAGTCGTACTCGTACTCCTCGCTCGGCGTCCGCTCGCGGCGGCGGCGGCGGCCGCGGTCCCTGCCGCCGCCGCCGCGCCGGTCCCTGTCTCGGTCACGGCCGCCGCCACGGCGATCCCGGTCGCGATCCCGGTCGCGATCGCGCCCGCCGCGGCTCCTGCTCCGGCCGCGGCCACCGCCGCCGTCGCCCCCGCCGACGCCGGGGCCGATGTGGGCGAAGCGGCAGCTGTCGCCGCGGAAGCACTTGCCGATGGTCCAGTCGTAGCACCTCTCGCGGATGTCGTCGCCGTCCTTCGGCCTGTGCTTGTCGACGTCCTCCGGCTTCTTCTCGTCGCACTCGCCCCCGCGGCCTCTCTGGCAGACGTCGTTGCGGGCAAAATTGTGGAAATCGCACTTCGGGCACATCCAATCTCCAAAGCGGAAGCCCGCGGCCCCGGCCATTCCGCCCGACGCTCGCCCGCGCGCGCGCCCGCGCGCCCGCCACCGCCTGAGCCAAAATGGCCTGAGGCAGAGTGGCTGCGGACACTGCCGCGTGGACGAGGTGAGGGAGGAGGTGGGCATCGGGAGGAAGGTTCTGGCGGTTTTCGGAAGGCTCCGAGGTCTCCAGAGGTCTTCATCAGTTTCCAGAAAGGGATGATAATCAGGAGGAGGAGGAGGAGGAGGAGGAGGAGGAGGAGGAGGAGGAGGAGGAGGAGGAGGAGGATAGTAGGATCGTAAGATGAGAGAAAAATGGAATTCTGGCGGTTTTCTAAAATGAGCGGATGTCTCCAAACATCTTAAGCGGTTACCAGAGAACGGTGATGCTGATCCTGCTGATGATGATGATGATGATGATGATGATGATGATGATGATGATGATGATGATGATGATGATGGTTTTGGTGGTGGTGCTGATGCTGACGTTGATGCGCATGCTGATGCTGACAAAGATGTTGAATCTGGTGATGGTGATGATAACGATGGTGATGATGATGATGATGACGATGGTGGTGATGGTGATGATGATGGTGATGCTGCTGATGATGATGAGTGGTGAAAGGTGATCAACGGTGATGGGTCTGTTAACGATGATGAGGATGATGATGATGGTGATGGTGATTATGCTGCTGCTGATGCTGATGCTGATGATGAGGATGATGATGATGATGGTGATGATGGTGATGACGGTGGTGGTGGTGGTGATGGTGGTGATGATGATGGTAACGATGACGAGGAGGATGAGGAGGACTAGGAAGGGAATATGGATAGACGGATCGGCGAGGAAGATGATTTCAAAGGCTTTCGAAAGGGGCGGAAGTATCAAGAGGCCGTCAGCAGTTTCCAGTGAGAACGAGGATCATGAGGATGCGGAGGTGGACAGGTGAGGACGACGAGGGTTTGGGCAGTCTCGGACGGGTCGGATGTGTCCAAACGTCTCTTCGGCAATTTTCAAAGACGGGGAAGAGGATGATGAGGAGGAGAGGGAGGAAGATGGTGAGGAAGCGTAGTGCCAAAAACACGATCGGTGAGAGGGCTACAGCGGTTTCCGGAATGCTCGGATGTCCCTGAAGGTCTTCAGCGGAGCGACGACGATGATAATGATAATGATAATGATAATGATAATGATACTGATAATGATGATGGTGGTGGTGATGATGCTGATGATGATGATCATGATGACGACGAGTATGATGATGGTGGTACTACTGTTGCTGATGATGATTCTTATGATGATGGTGATGCTGTTGCTGATGATGCTTACTAATATGATGATGGTGATGGTGATGGTGATGATGATGATGATGATGATGATGATGATGATGATGATGATGATGATGATGATGATGATGATGCTGCTGACGCTGATGGTGGTGATGATGACGATGATGATGATGATGATGATGATGATGATGATGATGATGATGATGATGATGATGGTGGTGGTGGTGGTGGTGGTGGTGGTTATGGTGATGGTTATGATGGTAGTGGTTGTGATTACGAGGATGATGATGATGATGATGAGGAGGAGGAGGAGGAGGAGGAGAAGGAGTAATATTGTAAGGCGAGAAACAGGATTGAAGCGATATTCGGAAGGGTCGGATGCATCCAGAGGTCTTCAGCGGTTTCCAGAGAGCGATGAGGAGAATGAGGAGGATGAGGAGGACATTGATAGATTAGGGGAGGATTCCAGCGGTTCGCGGATGATTCTGATGTGCGCACAAGTCTCCGGCGGTTTCCACAGAGGGGTGAGGAGAAGCTTGCGTAGCCCATTGACGCCTCAGTGCTGCCCGCTGTGCATGGCATGACCTTCGGACATTATGCAACGAGGAGGAGGAGGAGGAGGAGCAGGGGGACGAGGACGTGAAAGAGGAACAGGAGGAGTTCATTTGTTTTCGGGAGAGAGCGGGGGGGGGGATCGGATGTATGCAGGTGCTTTTTGGCGGGGCTTGGGGCAGGGTTGGGAGAAAGGAGGAGTAGGACGAGGAGCAGGTCAAGAAGGGAGGAGGAAGCCTTGCTTCGTTGGCCGACGCCACGGGTGAAGGACCCTCGTTCTCGTTCTCCTTAGCCCTCTCCTCCTCGTCCACTTTTCCCTCTTCTTCTCTCCTTCTCCTTTGCTTTCTCCTCCTCCTCCTCCCCCTGATCCTGCAGGCGGAGTGGCGCTTTCAATAGTGGCACGCTTTCTTCATATTCTGTATTTGACATGTTTGGCGCCGATGTTCGGGTCAACTGATCTTGCTACAACGTGCTCGAAGTTCCAACCGCCTGGGGCCCACCTCCCACGTCAGCCAAACGTCACAAACCCGCGCCAAAGACCGCGGATCGGACATCCTCACCTGCAGGGGGATGATGTGCCGGCCAGAGGGTGGGCTCAGCACTGTTTGAGCCAGCTGTAGACTTTCTGCCGCGCGCGCGCGTAGCTTTAGGTCGGGCATGTCCCCCTACAGGCGGATTTTGGATAACAAATAAAACATAAACAAAAAATGCACCGAAAATGCTCAAACATACACGAAACATCGGCACAGACGATTCTTTGACCACTCTTGACTTTTCCCCCTGTGGAGGGACAGGCCCGCCTTAAGCGTAGCTGCCACTTTGACCTATCGGTGGGGCCCTCTCGCTTTCCCGCCGCGCCACGCTTCCCGTTCCCCCTCCGCCACGGCTGCCGCACAGGCTCTCTCTGCTCGCTGCTCCACGCCCAGTCCTGGCGTCTGCCGAGCGCCCCGGCCCAGCAGGGCGCTGGGGGACGGGGCGGAGGGGGAGGATGACGTTGAGGAGGGGGAGGTGGAATTCTGGCGGTTTCCTGATGCGCTCGGATGCCCCCGATGTGTTTTCTGTTTGTCTTGTTTTCGGGGGGTTCTGGAGGAAGGCGAGGAGGAGGTAACTATACCAAAGAGCACCAGGAGCGGTCAAATGTCCGTGAACCCGTCTGATCCTTCTGGGGGTGGCCTCCAAAACGGGAGGGCTGGGCCATTGTGGCCTGGAAGCAGACATTTCCTGTTGTGGGTCGGGTTTTCATGACTCTTCTTCGTGAGGGACCGACTGCATTCATGAATTTACAGTCTGGGGCTGACTGTCGTAGAACGACAGCACACCGAGCAAAAATGAAACGAGAACTTTGGCCGGTGATGCAGGCACTGACTCGAGTGAAGCTCCCGCACCCCCTACCGAACCACCCCATTTGCGCGCGCAATCGCTGGCCCGAAAGGCCTTGCATTCGACTGCTCGTTAAGTGGCACGCTTCCAGAACCTGGCCAGGAGTGATAGTGTCACACAGCGAGGGGCTCCAGTTGCTACCCTCCTTTACTAGACATTGTCAACTGCCTTGGAGGGCGTCCTGAAGTTTCGTGGTTATGGTACGGCCCGCCTTGAGCCTTTCCACGGACCGGGGAGCAACCCGCATGGAGTCCACCAGGGACTGAGCCGCCCCCTGGCGGGGCAGCAGCGGGGGGAAGGGCGAGCTGTATGAGAGAGGGAGGGGTGCGGCAAGGGAGGCGGAGAGGAGGAGAGGAGGAGGAGGAGGGAGGAGGAGGAGGAGGAGGAGGAGGAGGAGGAGGAGAGGAGGAGGAGGAGGGGAGGAGGAGGAGGAGGAGGATAGGGAGGAGGGGGAGGAGGGACGTGTTGTCCCAGAGGTCGGTGTCGGGAACGCGACCGCCGCGGGCAGCCAGGTCACACGATCCCTGGGCAGAGCCGCCGTCAAGAGATCGGCAAAATGATTACCTGATGCACGCATGACCACCCCTTCGGACAGAGACGGGTCCGAGGTGTCAATCTGCGACGGGACTTCCACTGGAAGCGGCTCTCTCGGCCTATGAGGGCCAGACGAATGCGAAGCCACCCATCAGGGTTACAGCGAAGAGGAGGAGGAGGAGGAGGAGGAGTAGGAAGAGGAGGAGGAGGAGGAGGAGGAGGAGGGAGGAGGAGGAGGAGGAGGAGGAGGAGGAGGAGGAGGAGGGAGGAGGAGGGGGCGGAGGGGCACAGGGAGGAGAAGGAGGACGAGGAGGAACAGGAGCAGGAGGATGATCCAGCCCGAGGCCGAGCAGGAGAAGGAGGAGAACCAGGAGGACGAGGAGGGAGAAGGAGAAGGACGTGAGCTCCAAGCCCACACAACCTGAGTGAAGGACCTTCGGCAACGGACGAATGGAGGAGAAGGGAGAAGGAGAAGGACGTGAGCTCCACGCCCACACAGCCTGAGTGAAGGACCTACGGCAACGGATGAATGGAGGAGAAACTGCTCCTCTCCTCCGACGTTGCAATTATCGTCGTGACGTCGGCCTCCCTGGGATCTCGACCGCTTCCCCGGGGCCGGCTTCTCATCCCGATGCAATGTCTTGGAGGAGGAGGAGGAGGAGGAGGAGGAGGGGGAGGAGGGGGAGGAGGAGGAGGAGGAGGAGGAGGAGGAGGAGGAGGAGGAGGAGGAGGAGGAGGAGGGGGGGAGGAGGATGGGGAAGGAGGGGAAGGATGACTTCCTCCCGAGGCCGCAAACGACGAGAGGCCGATCGTCACTATCTCTGCTGCAGCGCCTGGATCCGCGGGAGAGAGGCGGAGAAGGAACGGGGGGATGAAGACAGGCGTCGACGGGCGACGGGCGACGACGACGGACGAGGACGAGGACAACGACGAGCGCCGTGCTCAGCAGGAGGGTCGGCAGGATAGCGAGCGGGGAGGGACGAGGCGGGCGGTCCTCGAGAGACCCCACGTCCATGGGGGAGCCGCGGATGTCGTCCAGCTTGTTCTTCTCCTCGCCGCGATTTGGCCGTCGCGAACGACGACGACGATGGACGACGGACGGCGCACGACGACGACGACGACGACGACGACTACGACGACGACGAGGACGACGACAACGACGACGACAACGACAACGACGACGACGACGACGGCGACGACGACGGACGACGACCACTGACGACGGACGACGGACGTCGGACGACGACGAATGTCGTGCAGCCAATTCGTCTCCTCGCCGCGCGGTGCCGGCCGCTACGAGCCGGCTGCCCCCGGGCTGCCCAGGCTTCGCGCACGATCTCGCCGGGCGCCACGCAGCACCCGTCGCGTCCTCGCAGCGCCCCGGATGAGGGGTGGCCCCGGCCCGCGCCGGCTCTGGCGATGCCTGCTCCGAGTTTCTGCGCCACCGATGGGGGGACCGAGGAGCTGAAGGACGTGGAAGTGGAACATCTGGCGGAGGTGGCAGGGAACGTGAGGGACCGAGGAGCTGGAAAAAGTGGAGTGTGGCCACGGCTGGGGAAGCTGGCGGGGGCCGAAACGAGCCCGACGCAGCTGCAGGGAAAGCTGGGGAGGGGGGAAGCTGGCCAGGGCTGGGCCGACTGGACGGGCTGTCCCTGGCCCCTCCTGTTCCAGCTTCCCTCTTGGGCGGCGCGCACCAAGGGGGTGGAGGGAGGGGGGATGGCTTCTGGGAAGGAGGCTGCTTCTTGAAAGGCGCTGGCCCTACATCGACAGAGAAGGCCCGCGCCTTCTAAGAAGCAGGGGTGCTTCTGAGAAGCCCTCCCCCCTGGCCCCACCTCCCTCTGCGCGTGGCCGACCTGTGCCCCCGCCCCCCCTCTCCCCAGCGGTGGCGCCAGCCCCGCCGCCCCAGACATCCGACGCCTCGATCCTTTCGAGACGCGGGCCCCCGACCTCCCGACCACTTCCCTGGGGCCGGTTTCTCATCCCGAGTCGTTTCTTGACGGCCCCGAGGCCCGGCGGGGGCCCCGAGAGGCCCAAAACTATGAGGAACGTCTGCCTCGACCTTTGCGAGGCGCTCGATGCCTGGGGTCCCCGTGGCGAGGGCGGGCTTCGGGCGGCCCTCGCAGACGGCCCGAGGCGCCCGAGGTCCCCGACGGCCAAGAGCTATGAAAAAAACCTCTGTCTCGACTTTCCTTCGAGACGCCCGACGTCTGGGGCGTCGGCCCGCCACGCCCAAGGGGGTGGCGGGGCGGAAGCGCCGCGCGCCTGGCCGCGGCGGGGGGTCGACTTCCAGGGGGGGGGGGGCGACGCGTCGGCAGGGGTGGCGGCGCCCTGGGCGCCGCTTCGGCGCCCCGCCCTCCGAGGCCCCACACCCCCGACGTCATGATTTTTTCATGACGCGAGCCCCAGAGGTCCAGACCCATTCCCTGGGACCGGTTTTTCATCCCGAGTCGTTTTTTGACGGTCCCGAGGCCCGGTAAGGGCCCTCAGAGGCCGAAAATAGCGAAAAACCTCCCGTCGTGATTTTTTCATGACTCGAGGAGGTTTGGGGCCGCGGCGGGGGGTCGACTTCCGGGGGGCGCGACGCGTCGGCAGGAGCGGCGGCGCCCTGGGCGCCGCTTCGGCGCCCCGCCCTCCGAGGCTGCGGCGCCCGCAGGCACCCAGAGCGCCGTGCCTGCCTCTGCGCAGCGCCGGCCCCCGGAGGCCTGGAGCCCCTCCCCGTGGGGCCGGCGCTCCGTCCCGGGCGGCCTTGTGGACGGCTGCGACGGCCCGCTCCTCCTCCTCCTCCTCCTCCTCCCCTCCTCCTCCTCCTCCTCCTCCCTCCTCCTCCTCCTCCTCCTCCTCCTCCTCCTCCTCCTCCTCCTCCTCCTCCTCCTCCTCCTCCTCCCCCTCCCCCCCAAAGGCCCCGAAAAGGGCGGAGCGCCTCCCTTCCCCGCGCGCCGAGGGGGCCTGGGCCTCGCGGCTGCACGCGAGGGGCGGCCCCGGGCAGGAGGCGGCCTCTGGCGCGCGGCCCCGAGCCCTGGGAATAGGGAGCCCACAAAGGACGTACGCGCCCAGCTATCGGGGAGACGTAAGACCCGGGTACGGGGGACTCGGAAATCCCCGACGAGGTCGTCAAAAAAATGACGAGGCCGAGCCTGCATTTTGACGAGGCCTCCCGCTGCAGACATCCCACGAAACTCCTCCTCGTCAAAATCCGAGTCGCGGTCGTCAAAAAACGATGGCGAACCCGAGTCCCGGCAAACCCGGGTCTTACGCTCCCCCGAAGCTATGTACGGCAGGTTCGTGTCGTGCCGACCCCAGCGTTGGTTTTTGGCACCGCAGGGATCATTCAACCTTGAACGATCGGCCGCTGCCGCAACGTCCGATCGTTCAACATCGATCGATTCTGGGTCGCCGGCGGCGTTCAACCTTGAACGTCCGCGCTGGGGTCGCCGCTGGTCGACACGACGCAAACCTACCGTACATGAACACGGCCCCTCGATTCGCGAGACCGGCCGCGTGATACGAACACTTGTGCAACGCGTGCTCTCGAAACCGGCGTGGATTCATGTACATGTACGTCCTTCTTTCGCTCCTGAGGGAAAGGGCCCCCAGAGGCCCCGAAGAGGGCGGATCGCCTCCCGTCGTGATTTCTGCCCCACGCGCAAGGGGGGGCCTGGGCCTTGCCGCCGCTTTTGGCGCACGCAGTGGAGCGCTCCACGGCAATGAGCGCTGCTCAATTGTGTGCGTTTCGGGCAGAGAGGCTGGAATTTTGGCGCCAGCGTGAACGTGTGACGGGCCAAGCTTGGGCACAGGAGCGTGCAACTCTGCCGTGCCATGTGCGCGAGGTTCTGGGCCCGGGCTGCACGCAGGCAGCGGCCCCGGGCGCGCGGCTCGCGGGGGCCGCGAGGGGGGCCGAAGGCGAGCACGCGGGCCGCTGCCGTTCGCACCGCTCTCGGCCCTCTGGGGGCCCCAGGTGGGTGCCCGCACCAAGGAAGGTCACTCCGGCGACTCCGGCGACAGATCCCCAGAGGTCCAACGCATTGAAAGAATCAAGGCGCACATTTTTCGCGCATCTCGGCGCCCAGGGGCCCTTGCCGGGCCTCGGGGCCGTCCAAAAAGACTCCGGACGAGAAACCGGGGGTCGAGACTTCCGGGGGACCCGCACTGAAAAAATCACGACGTCGGATCTCTGGGTTTCCTCCCTTCTCCTCCAGCGCTGTTTTTTGTTTGCATTCGCGACGTGGGCCCTCGAGGATCTCGACCGCTTCCCCATAGGGGCTGGCCCTTCTCCCTGAGCCGTCTTCGGGCGGCCCCGCCAGCAACTCAGGACTACACTGGCCGAAAGCAGCTCTGACGTGCAGCCGAGGCATTTCGCGCCTAGGGGCCCTTGCCGGGCCTCGGGGCCGTCCAAAAAAGACTCCGGACGAAAAACCGGTCCTGGGGAAGGGGTTGAGACTTCCGGGGGGCCCGTACTGAAAAGATCACGACGTCGGATCTCTGGGTCACTCTGACGTGTAGTGTAGCCGAGGCCAGGAAGAGGGGCCACAGGCGGTCCAGGGGCGGTCCAGCGGCAGGGGGGGGGGCCGGTTTCGGCGCCGCCGCCCAGGGCTCCTGGGAACGGACATCGAGCCCTGGCGCTCGGTCCGGCGTCGGGTCCCAGGGCCCTCCGACGTGCAGTCGACTTTTTTTGCGACGCCGCCGGAGAGGAGGGGGAGGAGGAGGAGGAGGAGGAGGAGGAGGAGGAGGGAGGAGGAGGAGAGGAGGAGGAGAGGAGGAGGAGGAGGAGTAGGAGGAGGAGGAGGAGGGAGGAGGAGGAAACCTTGGGGATCTCGGCCACTTCCCCGGGGCCGACTTCTCGTCCACAGCGTTGTTGTTGCTGCTGCTGTTGTTGCTGTTGCTGTTGCTATTGCAGTTGCTGTTGTTGTTGCTGCTGCTGTTGTTGTTGTTGCAGTTGTTGTTGTTGTTGTTGTTGTTGTGGTTGTTATGGTTGTTATTCTTGTTGTTTTTGTTGTTGTTGTTGTTGTTGTTGTTGCTGTTTTTGTTTTTCATTTTGTTGTTGTTGTGGTTGATATTCTTGTTGTTTTTGTTGTTGTTGTTGTTGTTGCTGTTTTTATTTTTCCTTTTGTTGTTGTTGTTGTGGTTGTTCTTATTGTTGTTTTTGTTGTTGTTGTTGTTACTGTTGTTGTTTTTCATTTTTTTTTTTGTTGTTGTTGTTGTTGTTGTTGTTGTTGTTGTTGTTTCTGTTGTTGTTGTCGTTGTTGTTGTTGTTCTTGTTGTTTAATTCTCATGTCTGAAGAATAATTATTGTTGATCCCCCCACCGGTGCATACTTATTTTTCTCAATCAAAGTGTGCCCCTCGACGCTCGCACTCAGTTTTTTTTTATAAGGGAAAATCTTGAAGCTCAAACTGGGCCCCTGGCCCCGGGTTACAACAACAACAGCTCCCGCTTAAGACTTCCTTGCAATTTAGCCAGGACCCCCGCTCCCGCCCGAGACTTCCTCGCATTTCATTCAGGAATCGCGCTCTCGCTTGGGACTTCCTTACAATTTATTCAAGAATCGCTCTCCCAGCGCTCTGGAGTCGCGCTCTCGCTGGAGACTTGCTTGCAACTTACTGAAAAATGGCCTTGCGTGGGAATTTCCTGCATTTTGTCGAAGCGCCGCGCTCCCGACACCCAGGCACCCACGAGTCGCGCCCGTTGTGGCCCCATGTGCATGCCCTTCGTGGCCCCGCTGTCGCCATTTGTGTCCCCCTCACTGTCCTACGTGGCCCAACTGCTACCTTCAGTGGCCTCATAGTTGCCTTCTGTGGCCCCGCATTATCTGCACTTCGTGGCCCCCGCTCGTTCGCGCTCTTCGTGGCCCCATACGCATTCCCTTCGTGTCCCTGCTGTCGCCCTTCGTGGCCTACTTCGTGCCCTTCGTGGCCCTGCTGTCGTTCTCTCTCGCTCTCGCTTTCGCTCGTCGCCGTCGTCGTCGTCGTCGTCTTCGACGTCGTCGTCGTCGTCGTCGTCGTCGTCGTCGTCGTCGTC